TTTCAGCTCGGAAACTCCCCGCTGCTCTTGTGCATAGTTTCAGTCTTTATTTATTAGGAATTACACTGAGGGTGCCAGTTTTGGGAGCTCAGTAAATTTTACCAGCATCCAGAAAGGAGGAAAAAGACTAATATTAACACATCAAAACATGTTAAAAATTATAATTCTCCAGATTTCACTACAAAGAGGATTCCGTTTCAAATCTACTGCTCCAGGAGTGGTTTTGGTTGAGTAAGAACAATCAAATTGGCAGAGTTGTTCTGACATCACAATAATGCATCCAGGTTGGAAATTAATTTTCCTGGGAGGTTTTTAGAAAGGCATGCCAGGCAGCTCAATAGCCTCAAGAAAGTTGGGGGTTCTGAGTTCTAATTCTGAACTTTCTATATAACTGGATGTCTTAGCAACTGGGAGCTTCTTGAGGCACACATTTATTCATCTTCTATCCCCAGAGCCTGGTATAAGGTCTGGCATATATTGTATATTTCATGAATCCATAATATACAATGAGTAATATAATATAGAATGAATCACTATTGGAGTAGAAATTAGCTGCCTATATGATATGATATTATATTTGCATTTGGTAGCATCATTTCCTGGCCCTGCCTTATTATGGAAAGGAAAACTGCCTTGGTAGTGGTGAATAAAAAACCTTCATTCCAGAGGCAGACTGCTGGGAGAGTGTCCCTGCTGCATCGCCTGCTAGTCAAAGAGGCTCACTGAGCTACGGTGTCCTCATGTGTACAATGAACGCCTATAAAATGGGAACAATCTACCTGTACCTACTTCACAGGTTATCATGGGGGTGAAATGAGATAATAGAGGCAAAGTCCCTGGCATATAGCACAATCACAAAAATGCAAGGAAATTGGGAGTCTGTTAGCTGTTATTATTACCTTTTTTGCTAAACCTCTCAAAGATTCACTTTTCATCCCATTCTTGCAGCCTGAGATTTTCTGATGTGTACTGAACATGCAGGGTATCAATGCTCACAGAGAAGCTCTGAAGATCAGTTAATGTACAGAACCTAGCACAGTATTCAGGTCGTAATACATGCTTACTGAAAGGACGAATGTTGAAAGAAATTTGCTTTCAATTTCTGGCAATTAAAAAAGCATATAAATTAGTTCTATTAAGCGAGTGATTTAAAGATTTTCAGTGTATAATACAATTTTTGGATCCTTAGATTTAATAATACACTGAAATTAGTGAAAGTGTCTGGAGGTTGATGATTCTCGAATTGCACCACATAAGAACCTCCTGGTTAACTAAAAAATTCCTGGAGTTGGCTGGGCTTGGTGGCTCACGCCTGTAATCCCAGCACTTTGGGAGGCCGAGGCGGGTGAGTTACAAGGGCAGGAGTTTGAGACCAGCCTGATCAACATGGTGAAACCCCATTTCTACTAAAAATACAAAAATTACATGGGTGTGGTGGCGGGTACCTGTAATCCCAGCTACTCGGGAGGCAGAGGCAGGAGAATTGCTTGAACCCGGAGGTAGAGGTTGTGGTGAGCCAAGTTCACACCACTGCACTCCAGCCTGAGTGACAGAGCAAGACTGTCTCAAAAAAAAAGAAAGAAAAAAAAAATTCCTGGGTCAGATTCAGAAGATCTGGGCAGAGTGCAGCCATTGGCATTCTAAACCAATCCCCCAGATGGTTCTGATATTACACTTTAAGGGAGCTGACAGGCCTCCTTTGAGAAACTCCAGGGGTTACCTAAAAATGTGATAGATCCTCATCTAAATGCAAGAATCTCTTTATTCTTTTACCATTAGTTTTCCTTCTTTTTCTCACATGGGTAAAAGAATAACAGGACTGAATTTACCTTCAATTATAGATGGGGTTGGGAGATTCTGGGTCCAGGCAAGTTTTGGTGTTGTGCAAGCATGGATATGCTTAAAGGATTTGCTGGAAAGATCTGAAGTTATTTTGGCTCATGCCTGTAATCCCAGCACACTGGGAGGCCAACGCAGGCAGATCACTTGAGGTCAGGAGCTGGAGACCAGCCTGGGCAATATGGTGAAACCCAGTCTCTACTTTAACTGGTGTGGTGGCGGGCACCTGTAATCCCAGCTACTCGGGAAGCTGAGGCAAGAGAATCACTTGAACCCAGGAGGTGGAGGTTGCAGTGAGCTGAGATTGCACCACTGCCCTCCAGACTGGGTGACAGAGCGAGACTCCGTCTAAAAAAAAAAAAAAAAAATTCTGGAGTTATTTGGACATCCATATGTCTGAAAAACATCCAGAAGGGCATTCTTTTGGATTGTTAAGCTAGGAGCCTGTCTGTTTCTCTAGTCTGACGTTTCAGGAGTATTGTATTTTCTCCTCAGGATGAAAGGAAGAAATATTCTGCAACACCATTATAAATAATTCAAAATCCAAGAGAGCTTAATGTGAAACATAGGAATGTGACTTGCAGTCACACTCCAAGTCCAAGAAGAATGCATCTTGATCAGCATTAGAAGTATATTACTGGAAAATAAATGGTAGGTAGGCCCATCAATCCGCAGGGGAGATGTCCTGTGTATTTTGATGATGGATTTCTCTAAGGATTTAAGCTCCCCGAATCTGGCCTCCACATTTAACCTCCAGTTGAGGTCATCGGTCTGTTCCATCACAACACGGTGTCGTACGGTATCGCTCTCCCCTCCTCACTAATCTGCTGTCGTAAATGTTGTCTTGAAAGGGTCTTAAGATTCAATTATTAATCAGAACCAATTTAACAGACTGCTGATGCCAGGAATGAAGTTTTTTTTCAATTTGCAAAGCTGGGATAAGCTGATCAAGGAGAATGGTAAAATTTCACGGGAAATACATTAAGCTTCCCACGCCAGACTAAAGAGCTTACTGAGGTTCACAAGAGTGCAGAGAAAGGTGTGTTTGGGTGGATACATTAATAGTCAATGGAGAGATGGAGAGTAATTATGAGAAATTATACACCATTGCAGGCATCACTTTATATATATATGTATATTGATTTTGACCTGGGAGGAAGGGGCAAGGTACTCTACTCTCTCTTTAAAAAAATCTCATTTAAAATGTAGCCCTGCACATTTTACTTAGACAAATGGTGCTACAGAAGTGATGTTTTCTTAATTTTGCTTTATTCCCTTTTTTCATACTGAAGCTATGAGAAATTACAAGCTTATTAATTGTCATTTGAGGCGCCGGACTTCAGACTGGAAGGTGATAAATGACCTAAATCATTTGTAATATGCTGGAAGTATGGACAATCTGTGTTGAGTATAAGAAGATACATTGTTGAAGAGAGTCTCTCATAATTAATGAATAGATGTCACATTGCCCTGTGCATATAGGAAGTTACCAGCTAGAGTATGCCATCCCGAAATACGTATGTTCGGTATAAGGATAATTTTGAGCTGATTATTTTGAGAAACTGCAGACACAGGAGAAGCTCTGAAGACAGGGTAGGAGTTCCCTTTTGTAAGGGAAATTCATATCCAGAAAGGAAATCTCCATTCATGAGGGTGAAATTCTGTGCTGAGTAAAGGAGGATAACTCTAAGTCAGACTTCTCCATGAAGGCGGCACTCACATATGGATACCAAACCTTCCACTTGTTTACCATGCTTTTCCTGGTCACCTCCCCCTAACTGGCCCTTGCAATACCCTCCTTTCTTTGTTTCAGCTGAAGATGGTATTTAAGCCTGAACTTAAAGTCACCTCTTTGAAATTTGCTCATGTCTTTGGGTATCTCCTATGTATACATGAAGTTATGTTCTTAAACTTCTGTTTGTTTTTGTCTTGTTAACCTGTCTTTTATTATAGGGGTTCATCCCAGCTAAGAACTCAAAAGGGTAAAAGGATTGTTTTTCCTCCCCTGTGATGCTTGTCTAAATGCAAGCACCTCTTCGCTTTTTACCTTTAAGTTTCCTCCTTTTTTTCTCTGGTGGGTAAACGGATAAGATTGAAATTACCTACAGTCAGAGATTGGGAACTGTTTTCCCCCTACAGGACTAGAATTTCACCTCTAACATTGCATAGAGGCAAAGATGATCGTCTCCAAGTCAAGGTGGAACTAGGCTGCAGATAGGACCAGCTACATAATTTGCAGACCCAGGGTTAAATTAAAATTGTTCAAAAAGCAGGAAAAAGTGCCATTAAGAGCACTAAAATACAAACATTTTCCCTTTTTCCTGTGGTCCCTCTCATCTTGTTGTGGGATTTTGAAAATATACTTTTTAATGTCATTCTAAGTAAATAAAAACAAAAAAATCAAATTAGCACTAATTTACCATTCATTTTTATTTCATGCAATGCCAGTTTAAATGCAAATGTCAGAGCATTTAATTCATCTGTACAATCACTGAAGTCACGCAATCTGCATTTTGTCCCTGGAAGGTGCTGTGCTCTGGCCAGAAAAGGCAAACACAGACAGATTCCAGAAGGTTGGAAGGAGGGAGAGAAAGGTCCCCCAGGCACAGAGTAGGCTCAAGTGAACTGGCTGAAAGCACTCCCTCTGGCATGGGGGTGCTTAGGATCCTCACAGGCTGTCACTCAGGCCTGATGGCTTTTCAGAGTCTCCTTCCCACCAGCTGCTGGCCCGACTCATTGTCCCCTGTCTTGAGGAACCTCCCCTTCTCACTGGTGGTATTCCCAACCCACGGCAGACAAATGATCCTAAGGGTATTGTAACATCTCTACTAGGTAACTGGATCGAGGTGAGCAATAGGCTTCCTCCTCACTGAGCTGTGGACTCTGTCCACTGTCCACTAGACACATTGTAGCACTGCCAGTCCTGGGCAGGGACAGACACTGCTATGCCCTGCCCTGAGATGCTTCAGGATAGGTGCGTTCAACTATGATCCTCTCTTCTGTGCCCAGACCCCTGCCTGGGGCAGACGGTGGCAGTGGTTACTGGGCAGGCACAGGGAAAGCAGGCTGGGCAGGGCTCAGGGTTTCAGGGTTCAGGAGAGTAGGCTGAGAACCCATCTGCAGGAAGGTGGGGGTGGGACTGGGAAGTGGGTGGAGGGAGGAGGAGGCAGCAGGAAGCTGGTCCCATGAACAGTGTCCATGCCCCCATCCCCCATGCTCCAGTGCCTCACTGTCCCATCAGAGTTCACTTGCAAAACACACATTCAAAGATACGACTATTAACAGTGTCAAGACTGGGACTGCAGAGCATTAAACCACAAGCATGGGAGCCCTTGTGAGCTAGGATCCCTGTGGGACTGCACTGGTCATGTGGCTCTGGTGTAGGAGCAAAGAATATGGAGCTGGCCCTGGGGGCAGGAGCAAAGGACGGGTAAGTGAGATGAAAGTCAGAGCTTCCTGCCAGCATGCCCAGCCTGGCCTATTCCCAATTCCCAAACAGGATTCTTCCTAACCGGGACAACTCTGTGAAGACTGGCTTTGCTCTCTGGACAAAAGGCTTTTCTTCTCTTTACTACTGCCCTGCTTTCAGCACGGCCCTCCTCCTCCACCTCCCTTCCCTGCCTACTGTCCTGATCCCCACTGCTGGGGGTCAGCAGGCTGCACATTTCTGGACCACCGAGTAAGTTTAAAAATCAAATCATTTGTGGCTTCTCTTTGGATTTTCCTTTGCAGCTCTGCCCTTTCTTGCTTCCCTTCTCTCTCTGTCTGAGAGAGGGGAGATCTGCCTTTTAATTATGTCTTACAGTTAACTAAGGTGGCATTCCCTGCCTGGCAGGATGCACGTGGCTTCAGCAGTTAATGCTGGTGAGGCTCTTTGAGCTCTTTGGGGTGTGTGTGAGGGTTAAGGGGTACTGCTTTCCAGGATGTGGGCAGCCCAACAAGAAAATTGAGAGGGAGAGGGAAAAAAGCTGGTGTAATTAACAGAAGCGTGGAAAAGGTGGGAAAAGGAATGTGGGGAAATGGATAAGGAAAGGAGGCAGAAGGGAGGAGGAAGGAACGATGGAAAGACCCAGCTTTTCCCCTGCTCCACCCTGGTGGTTTGAAAATAGAGGCTTGAGCCTGAGAAAGCCACTGCCCAAGTAGATGGTATCTTTGCAGTGCTGGTGCCTAGGCAATGTGAACCCTAGGTGACAGGTGACAAGGAGCTTCAGCGCCAAGTCTCTTGCTTTGCTCCTGTCAAATTCTTGAAAATGTGACTGAGTATCCTTAGTTTTCTTGGGGTATATCCAAAAGAATTAGTACCCCATGAAGGTGTGGGTGCTCTGGAGAGAACTGGAGGGTTAGATGGGGGAGATAAGTGATACAGAAGAGAACAATCTCTTTTGGAGCTCCCAGTAGGCCTAGAGCTGTGTTGAGGAGTGTTGGGACTTTATATTCACAACAATCTTCACGAATATGAACTTAATTTTTCCAGGGTGACCAATGCGTTGGCCGTATAAGCCAAGTATTCTCATAACCTCAGATTTTGAAAGCCATTTTTTCCCCCAGCAGTTTGATAATCAGCTATCCTCTTGCGTCCTGTCGAGAAAGCAACAGTAAATCTGCAGCTCTCTGAGAAGGAAGAAGGGGCCAATTGCTCTCTGATGGACTCACAGCCTAGAGGTAACTCACGGCTTCTTGGTTGAGCCCAGCAGACCAGCCCAGAGACTCAGACTCCCAAGGAGATGTGTCCCCACGCTCAGAAAACACCCAGCCACAGGCTTCCCGTTCTTTCTTTTCTCTCAGTAATTCACATTTCTTTCCAGAGAAATATTTCTTTTCTGAGTTATGATGCAGATACTACCGAGATGTTCCTTACAAGGGGAGCAACAACTAACGTGTCAAAGTAAACATTACGATCCCACCTGAAGACTTGGAATACTATGATATACTTGCTGAGATCTCTTTCATGACTGGCAAGACATGAGAACAATATTTATCTCTAAGAGAGAAGGTAAAATTGCTAGCAAAGATGGCGCTATTTCTTCTAGAGCAGAATCTGTCAAAGTGGTGGCCTGTGGGTTTCCCACATCAGAAGTACCTGGATGATGGTCAAAAAGCAGATTTATGCACACCACTGTAGAACTTCGGAATCTGTGTGGGTGACAGCTCAGAACCTACATGTTAAATACTGGGAGTTTTACTTTTCTATCTATCTGAGAATCAGTGTTTGGAGTGGTGGCTCTCAAACCTTGTGGGGGGGGGGTCTCAGAATCACCTAGAGGGCTAATGGAATACAGATTCCTGGGGCTCACCTCCACAGTTTCTGATTTAGCAGGTTTGGGGTCTGAACATCTGCATTTCTAATAAGTTTCTGGGCAATGCTGCTGGTCTGGAGGCTACATTTTGAGAACCACTAGTTTGGAACAATTAAAACAATTTAGTTTCATGTCAGTCAGGTGTAACCTACTTCCTGTCCTGGGGAAGCCCTCTGCATCAGGGTGTTGGAGGTAGTGGTGGTGCTGGGCTTGTTTTCTGTCTGTCTAGCAGGTGGATGTCTGGGGAAGCAGTTACTGGGGCTCAGAAAACACTATCCAAAAATGAAGTCCTCAGAAGCAGGCTCAGAAGCAAAAGATCTTCTCTGACCTTCTTCTGCTCTCCTGTCTCCCAGTCCCATTCTCCCCCAAGGCTAGCCATAGAAACTATAATGGCAAAAACCGCAATTACTTTTTTTTTTTTTTTGATGGAGTTTCACTCTTGTCGCCCAGGCTGGAGTGCAGTGGTGTGATCTCGGCTCACTGCAAACTCTGCCTCCCAGGTTCAAGTGATTCTGCTGCCTCAGCCTCCCGAGTAGCTGGGATTACAGGCATGCACCACCATGCCCAGCTACTTTTGTATTTTTAGTAGAGATGGGGTTTCTCCATGTTGGTCAGGCCGGTCGCGAACTCCCGACCTCAGGTGATCCGCCCACCTTGGCCTCCCAAAGTGCTGGGATTACAGGCTAGAGCCACCGTGCCCGACCTAAAAAACGGCAATTACTTTTGCATGAACCTAATAGAATCCCTCTTCTCCAAGGCTGGTCACAGAAACCAGAACCCTCTTTTTCCAAAGCCAGGCATAGCATCTAAATATAGTACTCTAACTTTCCTTCTGCTCTATCTGTATAAAAACTGGCCATAAAGAAATTTTCAGATCCACCTTGTTTGACTATTGGCCATAAGGCCCCCATTCCAGAGAGGGTCCTGCCCCACATCCAGGAAGGAAGGAATGCTGGCTCAGAGAGGCCAAGAAGAATCTAGACAGAGAGGCCTTGCTGGGTTTCCCCACTCACTCTATTAGCATTAGATCCTAACCATTTTGTCCAATCATATTTCTATATGGCTGTCCCTACTTCGTTGAACCTCAGCAGAAAAATGGGCAATTTCCTCTGAAACTTTGGATCTTCATTCTGAAGGCTCCCAGGAATACATGTTAAATAAATTTATATGCCTTTTCTCTTATTAATCAATCTGCCGCATGTCACTGACTTTTCAGTGAACCTTAAGTGGGCCAAGGGCCTTGGCCCCCACACAGTGCGGGGCCACCCAGCCCCCAGGAGCCAGGCTGGTCTGTGCAGGGCCCTGAGGGAGCAAATTAATGTGTATCTCTGTCAGATGGCTAGGCTCTGTTGGCTGGTTCTTCAGACTCTCGAACGCTCAGTTAGTTCTGGGGTTTCCTCTACGGCAAGACATGAAGGCCTGGCCAAATCTAGAGCTTCTAGTAGTTCTCAGAACTAAGCTGGAGTAACTAGAAGCAGAAAAGAAGGCAGAGTTGACTGGACACAGTGGCTCACACCTGTAATCCCAGAACTTTGGGAGGCCGAAGTGGGTGGATGGCTTGAGCCCAGGAGTTCAAGACCAGCCTGGGCAACACAGTGAAACCCCATCTCTACTAAAAATACAAAAATTTGCTAGGTGTGGTAGCACATGTCTGTAGTCCCAGCTACTTGGGTGGGGGGCTGAGGTGGGAGGATTGCTTGAATCCAGAGGTGGAGGTTGCAGTGAGTTGAGATTGCGCCACTGTACTCCAGCCATGTGACAGAATGAGATCTTGTCTAACCGAAAAAAAAAAAAAAAAAAAAAAAAAAAAGGCAGAGTCCTCATCATCACCGTGGCTAACCAGGAAACCAACTTGGCATGTTTGCATGCTGACAGGCCATCAGGCCTCCAGGCTGATATTTTAGGGTCTCAGGCCATAGATGTGCCCCTTCTTCTGAAATATTTAGAAAGCATTTCAGGCTGAGGCTTGCACAGACAGTGCAGTGCTTTGCTGTGGCTCAGGAGCAGTCCACAGAACTCCTTTCCTCCATCTGTCCCCTTCCCCTTTTCCTTCCCCTTCCCTTCCTCTCCCTACCTCCCTTTCCTCAGACACCTGCAGTTTCCAATTTGGTCACTAGAGGGCTCAGCAGGACAACGATTATCCTAGGAAGGGGCAAAGAAGGACCTGAAAGAAGCCTGAAATCCACCCCCTACTCCAAGCTGGTTGACTGTTGTTTGGGGGCTCTCCAGCAAAGGGAGAACTAAGGCAAGGAGCTTGTGATGCTTGCCTGCCTGCCCAGCATCCTCAGCGGGAAGACCAACTAGTCTTGTGTGGCTGCCCAAGAATGCCATTTTCCTCTTCAAACAGTGCTGCAGTTGTCACAGGAGAAGGAATGGTAACACCAGGGCAGTGATAGTTGCCAAGAATTAGTCCCCTTCATTATCTCCAACAGCTGCTTCCCTCAAATGACATGGTGGATTATCATCTTTCAATCTTACATGAAGTGCCATGCAGAGGTGGCATCAAGAGTCTCTTTGCACAACCCTTCCAGCCAGATGTCCTGCCTCTCAGTCCCTTCTCTGCCAAAATTCTGGAGCTGAAATTCTATCCTGGTAATACTTTCTGAGGCCATAGCTCTTTGTGGTGCTATTTGTCCAGTGCACTAGAACCTAAGAAGTACACAAGAAATGATCCACCTCTGTGATTTTCCCTGTTCTGCCATATCCTGTCCTGCTCCTCCCATCAGATTTTGAATCAGTGTCAGATTCAGGGAAGGCTGCTGCAGACTAGATGCATTTGTTTGGAAAAAGTTGTGTAATCGGCTACACTTGATATATGAAAACCCAAATGGACCAAAATGTTAAATCAAGCGATGAGTTTTTGCTCTCTAAAAAAGATTCATCATAGCCAGTCACAGTGGCTCATGCCTGTAATCCCAGCACTTTGGGAGGCCAAGGCAGGTGGATCACTTGAGGTCAGGAGTTCGATAGCAGCCTGGCCAACATGGCGAAATCTCGTCTCTATTAAAAATACAAAACATTAGCTGGGCGTGGTGGTGTGTACCTGTAGTCCCAGCTACTCGGGAGGCAGAGGCAGGAGAATCGCTCAAACCTGGGAATTGGAGGTTGCAGTGAGCTGAGATTGTGCCACTGCACTCCAGCCTGGGCAACAGAGCGAGACTCTATCTCCAAGAAAAAAAAATCATCATAAAAATGTCATTTACTTGCCATGGAAAGAGAAAGCTCTGTTAAAAAAGTGACATTGCATATTTGGTTAATAAGTGTAATTCCATAATTTTATGTAAATGAAGGGTGTATCTCAAAACTCTGCTGAAAGCTGGCATGTGTGGGTTTCTATTCTTGCCTTATTGGCTTTTGAATTATTCTCCGACTGCCTCAGAGACTTCCCTGGCCTTGTTAACTTGGTTAGCAATACACTGAAAAGGAGAGAATGTAACCTTGTTCACCTGCTGGATCTGCTCAAGTTCCAGAGCTCTGATCAGTGATATCTCAGGAAGAAGAGAAGTACATACCAGCTGGATAACCTCAAACTACTGAAATCGGCTGATTTGAGATGACCAAACCGGAGCTTGCCACATCTATCTGAGTCTGATAGGTCCGTGTAAAGGGCACAGGCTGTGTGCTCCTCATCTGCACCTTCTCCTTCCTGCCCTTGTTCTTCTTCAGTTAGTAACAGAAAATCACAAGGCCCTTGCTCCTGGAGGCTGTCCCCATTTGCAAAGCCTGACTATAACTTCTTTCATAATCCTACAGATGAAAATGAATATTGTGGGAGGAAACTGCATGAAAAGCCCGAGGTTGCTCAGCAAACTTAGCATCATGTACTTTTGAAATCAGCTGCTTTCAAACTCATTTTATAGATGAGGAGCCCAAGGTCCAGAGAGGCATAGCAACTTTCTCAAGCTCACCCAGATATTTCGTGGAGCCAGGAGAGGGACTTGGGGTCCTTTCTTGGGATGTAGGCTCCTTCACTTTTCAAAGGCTCTCCTGGTAGTGTGCAAGAGATTCTCTTCCAGAGAGAAATGAACTGGGATATCACACCAAAAAGATGCTTTGATGGGAAGAGGAGGATTAAGTTTTAATCCAGGCTCTGCCCCCATCTTGGGCAAGTTACGTTCTCTCTTGAAACCTTGGCCATTTCCTGTGAATTAAGGGATTTGGAGTGAAGGCTCCGTCTCTAAGGACTCATCAGCTCTAGAATTCTGTTTGTAAACGATGGGTTGGGTCTCAACACTGCAGGGGCTTGGGCAGCACTCAGTCATATCTCATAAGAGCCCCTCTAATTTTACATTCTTGTCATCTCTGCCAACTATCTTGGGAAGTTTCCTGCAAATTTCCATTCAACACACACCAGAAACTTCAGTG